TCCTATTCACCCCTCCTATATCCTCATATCACGCATTCACTATAATAATTTTTTTCCCTTGCTCATCTAAATATAGTGTGGTGTGCCCTTTTGAACGGCTTTCATGAAAACCCTCCACACTTCACGCTGGCGTTCTCACCCCCCTTGACCCCTGCGCTAGGGATGCTGATCAGAATCTGCTATATTGTTACGCAGTCTCATGGTAAAGCCTTTGCTACATGGACCACGTCTATGATAAATCAAGTCTACTCTTAGCCAACTAGCTCCAGTCTCCGCCGCGTCTATGCTGTTTCTATCCTTACTACCAAGTATATGACTTGCTATGCCCATTTCCAGCAGAAGAGTGAAGGAGGTTGAAAACGCCAGCATGGAATGTGGAGGGTTTTCATGAAAGTCGCTAAAAAGGGAACACCACACTACATTTAAATAAACAAGGTAAAAAATAAATTATGATAGTGAAGGGGTGATAGAAGGATATAGGAGAGGTGACTAGCCCAATACAGAATGAGATATATCAAAACAATTTAGCACTTATTTGGTCGAAGGATTGGCTTCACTTGTCTCTGACGAGTTGTAGCATGGTGCTAAGAATGGCGAGACTCACTGACGATGCTGACTACGATGCCGGTGAATCGTTTGGAAATGTACCAAGTCCACGGTCTGGGTTTGTAAATTATGATGCATACAATGGACTCCAGACTAGGTGCGTTCCTCTAAATCTTCCTACCAATATGTCCAAAATGCGAAAACAAGGTCAAACAACTTCTATCTCCTTTAAATTTTATGAGAATTGCTCATTGTTTTGATGAATAATAAGTGATTCTTAATCTCTCTACCGTTTCTTTGTTGATCATACCGCCGACCTAAAATTCGCATTTATTTCCAGTACTCGTTACGATTCCTTTTTGTTTGAAGTTTTCTTTTATGGATAGATAAACTAACTATGGATGATATGTCGAGAATGTAGTTTGATTTTAAATTTAGTGTAAACTTGCGCCTGCTCTTATATTTGTCCTCACATCTTCCGGTTTTTGGAACTCATTCCCAAACTATATAAATTTCGTAAGATAACATTTAACTATAGAAAATGGTAAAGCCCCGACTATTAAGATCCAGATCACTAGATGCCGTAAATTTTCGGAGCATTACATTGCTAAGTTATTTTTAGTGACCTATTTATATTTAAATTAGTTGCTTTCTTCACATTATTGTAGATATTAATCTTGCGAATACACGTTTATATGGCTTTAGACACCATCGTGTGTGTTACTTTAACCCATTGTCCTATGATTAGCTTAATACAAAATAAATTTCCTCATTTTCGTTTCATGATTCCGAGTCGTTGCCTTGAAAAAATCTTGCACTATTGCGTGTTCTTATTTTGATATTCGGTTTGACTTAAAAATAATTTTTTCCTGATATTTTAAAATTATGAGACTGATTTTTATGGAAACCCAACTTATTCATTTTACTGTGAATATTAGTGTTAATATGTGCAGTATGTGCATAACGTCTGTATTTCACAATTCTGTATACACTTGTGCATACCCAATCGGACATCCGTTAACGCATCTGTATGCAGTGCCTTCTCATCTGCCCTTTGAATACGCTTTTGTATTCACCAACGTTGGTGGCCAGGCTGTAGTCCTTAGCATGCCGACTCTGCGCCGACGTGACTTGATTCCATTGCTCGACTCGAGCGATGTAGTCGCTGTTGCTTCGGTATTATTGGCTGAGCCCGGTAGCTGTGGCAATCTTTCCCCCCAGCATGATTCAACAATTGCAGACCGTATCGTACTAGCTCCAGGGCTAGGCTTTTACCAACTGGCACCTGGCCAGGTAAGTCAAAATTTTCGTCCTAGTACTCTGAAAGAGCCTTATTTTCCCCTTCGCATTAATCCGATATCAACATTGCTTAAAATTTTTTTTATAGAAGTGGTTTGACATCGTTTCCGAAACTTGATCATATTTTCATGGAGACCTAAATGAGCACACCTTGTCCCGGGTCCTCCGCCATAGTAGTCTCGCCAATTTCCAATATTGGGCCGTAGTCTTGGCGCACACCTGAACTAGGTTAAAATAAACAAGTTAGAAGTTATAGGGAAGGGAGCGATATAAAGTTATGGGATAGGGTGATGACCAAGACAGGAGAGACATCAAAACTGTTCAGCAGGAAGTTGGTCATGAGATGGATTTCACTTGTCTCTGGCACTTAATAGTATGTTAAAAATGGAAATGCTTACTGACGAGCTTAAGACTTATTTGATGTTTTGCTTTAATGGATATATATTTTTGTTTTAGATAATACCTACTACTAATAATCAATTTTGTTCATCTTCGTAGCTTGTTATTATGTCTGTTTTGTAATGAGGATATATATATGCTAGACATTTTTGAATCATATGTGTGAAGTATTGATGGCTCTTAGCTTATTTGTGCCTTTTATTTTATCAAGCTTAAATTACATTTCTATCAATATGTAATAGCACCTGTTGGGATTGTTATTATATAATTCATATTTTTAGTTTGTAAGTAGGTTTTCGGGATTCCCAGTAAATCAGGTATATAAGTTGTGTCCATCCTATTTCGTTTAAGGTGATGAAGGACTGGTAGTTGAATTTTCCCACAATGTTATAAGTAGATTTTACGTTTCCGTCGAATTTCACATAGCCTCACTTCTTAAAAGGTATTATCATTCAAGCAGGAGTTGACTGCAGCTTCGACTTCGTCTAGGTCTCATCAGCATCCATAACAGAATTCGGACCATGACAGTGCAGCATATAATCTCGACACGTTAATTACAATGCCATATTGCCACGAGTGCCCCCAGGCCTCAGGACCAGGCATTTTCTCATATGGCATTATGTGATTGGATTGTCGATAAGCCAAAGTTATATTTGCTATAGCAATTGATTAAACTACTCATTTTTCGTTTATAATTAGGTTTTTTGAGACTACCAGTGAATCATTTATATGAGATGTGTTCCCCCTATTTCGTTTAAGGTGATGAAGGACTAATAGTTGAATTTTTCATCAAATACCAGGGTGAACATATCTCTTATATATATAATTAATAACATAAAAATAAGATATACTTCCTGCATTTCAATATGCATGATGCTCTTATCTATTAAACAGTGTGACCTACACATTTTTAACTTTTATATACTTCCAATCATATTAATTGTTGCAACTGTTGACACTAGGAACATTTTATTTGCATATAGATCCTTTTAAGTGACTACTACTATCACGCAGATATGTTTGACCTACAAGTTATTATAAATTTACTTTCAGCAACTGAGATATTTCTAGTCAAGCTACATTAAAATTATTATGTTATAATTTTTCTAGAGCGTAATCATATTATTTCATCTAGCCTTGATCCAAAAATTTCTCATTGGCAATCCTAATTTGGTGTTTTGCATGCTTTCGACTATATGTCTCTATATAGTCGTAGTTGATAAACGGCATCTCTATTGGTCAGCGAGTATTTTAGAACGCTTTTTTAAAGATATAAAGGTAAAAGACTAATGATAGCCGTGTCTTTTTTATTATAACTACACATCTTTAAACATATCGCCCCCTTACATGGCATATTTTAGCTCACGCTCTTCGATATTGTGCTGACTGGACAACACTCTAGCTCCCTTGGGCTTGTTTATCGGG